TCGCTCTTGGGGCCAGCGGCAGGCAGGGCAGCAGCAGGCGCTGATTTTCCTTCCTTCCCCCCTTCCAGGAGCGAAGGCCGGTGGAACTGTCTCCTTCTGGCCACCAGCCCCGACCTCGGCTCTTCTTAAGGTCTGTAGGAACCGCCCCCACAAGCGCCGGCCCCGGGGGCTCCGCCACTTTCCAGTCCGAGGGGTATTTCCAGAGGGAGGTTTCCGATTTTTTTCCCAAGTTCAGCTCTTGCACAACACCCAGCTCCTCCGCCAAGGGCCGTGCTGGCAGCCCCCAACCCGGAGAGCCTTGGCCCAAAGCGTGGCTGCAGGAGCCCCCTTCACCCCCCCGGCAGCCCTTGCACAGGCACCTGCACCCCAGGACGTGGCCTACCCCCTGTTCCTTCCCTGGTTCTCACCAGCCTCCATCATTCCCCCCCCCAGCAAACCAGCCCTTTGCACCCCCAAGCACCAACAGCTGAAATGAGCTGGGGGGGCTGGGGTCGTTGCAGACCCCCCACCCCAACAGTAGGGCCAGGGCCCGTGTTCAGCCCCGCCGGGGCGGAGGGACGGGAGCCCATGGCCGCAGCGGCTGCCTGGGGCATGTCCCAGCGGAGCCCCGCGGGGCCCCGGGAGCGGGCACCCCCCTGCCCCCGGGCGGCCCCGGCTTGGGGGTGGGAAGGTACAGCCCCAGGGCAGGGGGAGAAGGGGTCCAGCCCCAGGCTCGGGGGCTGCAAACAGCGTCCACTGCCAGGATGGGGCGTCGACAAGGATGGAAGTTGGTGTCTCTGGGAGGGTTGGTTTGATGGCATCGATGGAGAAACTGTTACCGCGTGAAGATGTTCGTTGCCTGATGTCCTGTGGCCCCCAGGCCCCGGCACAGCCCCAGCACCCGTTCCCTGGCTCACGGCAGGTCCTGCCCCGCTCCCCGGGAAGAGACGGGCCCGGTCTTGCCTCGTCCCGTCCTGCTGGGCTGCAGCCGAGGGTGGGGAAGGGCCCAGCCCTGCACCCCCCATCACAGTCACAGAAGGTGGAAAGTCAGCGCAGGACCCGGCCCTTTCCCATCTGGGAACTCTCTGGAGAGGCAGCTCCGGGCACTGGGCGCGTCACGCATCCTTTCAGGGGGTAATTAACGGTCCCACGGTGCAGGAGGCCTCGGAGCAGGGAAGTGCTCTGTAAACAGCCGCCATCAAATATGCTCATTCAGCTGAAGCCAGTGATTAATGGCTCCGGGGATTTTTGTTCCTTCCATCCTGTGTTAACAGAGACACTTCCCGGAGTTCCCAGCGGCCGCGGAGCCCCCGGCCCGGCCCCGCCATGGGCCAAGCCCCTGCCCGCGCCGGCCAGGCTCTTCCCAGCAGCGAGCGGGGGACGCCCGAGGCCACGCACATGGGGCCGGAATTTCACCGCCTGAACCCATGGCGCCCGCTTGGCGCACGAGGCCGGTCCCCCCCCCGGCCAGGGGTGAGCGAAGCCCCGCGGTAGCGGTGGAGGTGGCGCGGGCTGCGCACCCCCCGGGGACGGCAGGGCGAGCACCGAGCGCTGAGTGACTCCATCGGGGACACTGAGCAGGGTTGAAAGAAGGGAACTACCATCCTCACAGGCCATGCTCACTGCTACACGGTTTTGGGGCCAAACACAGGTAAAAAGATAAATTATCTAAACCCTGGAAGCCGCCCTTGGCTGGGGCCTGGTGCAGGTTTCTGCCAGGGCTCCTGCAACGGCGGACCAGCAGCGACAGGCCTGGGGGATCAGTCCCAGCCCCTCAGCGCCCACCAGTCCCTGCGTGGGGGGTGCGGAGCTGCGCAGCCTCCAGCCGTGAGCCAGGCCCCGAGCGGCCACTGGGGACCGGACTGAGGGTCCTGCAAGAGGTGGCTCCCCGCGAGCCCTTGGCATCACACCCCGAGGCCCAGGTGGCCTCAACAGGATGCGCCAGGTGAGAAAAGAAAAACCCATAAACCAGCATCTGAACCGGAGTCAAGCATTTACGGAGCAGACTTTTTTTTTTTAGGCAGCTTTCCCAGACGGGTCATCAGGAGATTAATGGCTACCAGAAAGTCCAGCGCCTGTGAGACGCTTCCTGTGGGTCGGTGCTCACAGAGCACTTGATGCCACGAGCACCCGGGAGCTGCCCCAGCCTCTGCCGTGGGGCTGGACGGGCAGCGTGGATCACAGAGGAAACCAGAGTTACGGAAACCTGATAAAGCCCCAACCCCGAGGGCCAGCTCCGGGGCTACTGAGCAGGGAGAGGTCAGGGAACTGGTCCAAGCTCGGAGCGACATGATGGCAGGGCCCCAAGGCAGCAGATTTGGCCCCAAGCTCCCCTGAGCCCCCCCCACAGTGACCCACCACCCTTCCCTCCACCACCCGCTCAGGGTCTCATCTGCCGCGGACTCGGAGGCCTTTTCCTCCTTCCTGGAGGCGCGGGGGCAGCTCCCCCTCCCCGAGGTGCAGACATCGGGTAGAAGGAACAAGCTTCAGCACCGGGACAGTTTTCCACCCAACAGGAAACCTTTGGGTCAGAAGGGAAATAGTGGTTTTCAAGAATCAGAAGCCCGAACAGTTTTCCTGGAAGCCAATGGTGCTTCCTCCTGAGGGGCAGGAGCCGGGGGCTCTCGCCGGGCAATGCTCGGCCCAGAGATGTTTCTCAGGAAGCAAAACAGTTCAGCGGGGAAAGACAAAGCGCAGAGGGACGAGCAGCGGCCCCAGCACAGGATACCCTACGCCAGCGCCAGAGCCCCTCGGGCCAGGGTGTAGCCACGGGCTGTCAGCACTGGCCCTCGAAAGGACAGGGCTGGGGCAGGCACTGATGAGGACAAGGGGAACAAAATTAAGGCTTCCTGCAACGTGCAAAACACGGGAAGCTCACCTGGGGGAGGCTCTGCCCTCGCCCGGTGCCATCCCCACGGCAGCCAGGCCGGGCTGTGCCTGCGGCCCCGGTGGCCACCGCAGCAAGGAGAGGGTGGCCAACAACGTGCTGTACTGAAACACCCTCCCTTCTTCTGCAAAGAGATTCAGGAAAAAAAAAACCAAAAACCTCAAGTCCAGTGGAAATGAATGCAAAAAGGCAACAGATTCTAAGAGACGGTTTGTGCCTCCAGCTCCTTACAGGATATTGGCCATCAAACCCCAGACCCCATCCAAGAGCTGCCTTGGGTGTGTTTATGCTTCTTGTGATTGTTCACTTAGTGCTGTCCTTGGGCCACCCAAAGAAGTGCTTTAATGAGTAGGATAGTATCTAAATTAAACCTGGCTGAAAATGAAGACAATGGGTCTGGGCTCTTAAAAAAAACAGCCTGGCAGGAGGCTCCTGCAGGGCAGGTGCTGGCGTGGGGAGGAGGGACGTGGGGACCCGGCCCAGGGACCTTGGGCTGGGGGCTGGCAGCCCCCTCCCAGCACACACAAACCCGCCAGCCAGGGCCCCTGCAGGCAGCGGGTCCCCTGCTCCTCCAGAGCACTTTGCTGCTCCCTACTTCACCCAATATTGCAGAAACTGCCTGAAAACAGCTTCCTCCTGCGCCAGCACTCAGCCCCCCCATGGGCTGAGCAGCAGGGCCAGCCCTCAGCCCCTTTCACGCCCAAGCGCGCGAGATGCCGGAGCTGGCTTAATGCTCACGCAGAAACCTGGAGAGCTACATAGGGTCAGGGTTGAGGGTGAGCTGGTTCCAAGCCCTTTGTGCTCTACAACAGTTTTAAAGAATTGGGAGCCATAACTCAACGCCTTGTGCCCGTTCGGGACAGGAGGCCGATGGGTGAGGCCCGACACCCCCTCCCCGACACCAACCTCTTGGCACAACCTGCCAGAGGTGCCGGGACGGGGCATGGGGCAGGCTCGGGGGAAGCTGCCTGGTAACGCGGGCGAGGGAGGATCGAGGACAGAGAACTTCAACACAACAGGAAAGCAGCAGTTTAATAAATAATCCACCGGAGGGAGAGATTAGCCAGTTCTAAACACAACCTGAACTGAAATAAATACATTTCATCGTTAGCCTAAAAAAAGAGAGGTACAGAAACGCACGCAATAGTAAACTCTGAGAGCGTGGAGGTACGGCCATTCTTCAGTGAACGTGGGCTTGGCACATGCCCACGCTTCTTAAAGATAATCCACGTTGTTAGCAGCCATTTGAGTGCAGAGAAAAGAATTAAAAAAACAGTGAAGTAAAAAGTTACTATTTTGCCAAAGTAACAGCAAAAGAGAAAGCAATGGTTTAATGCAGGTTTTTTAATGCAACAAGATCAGTTTAAACTCACTTGAACTGCTGCTGTTAGCACTGGAACTGCAGAGGGAGGGCAGTTCAGCCAATTTTTGCCTTATGTTTGGGGCATCTCTGTCACGGACCTGAATTATAAGTCACTGCAGACAAATTCTGGGAACACTTGATGTTAAACAGCCAGGCTCAGGCACTGCACAGCAGATCAAGGGGGTTTTAAGAAAAGGCTCTTTTAAAAATGTTGCTTTTTCATATAAAGTAACCAAAATTGGCAAAACTAGCTGAATGCTCCATACAGATTTTCCAGTCTCCACGTGGGACGCTGCAGAATTACCAGCCCTTCAGAATGAGACATTCTTCATTCGGGTCCGGCAACTCCAGCTCTGTCCCCGCTTGGCCCAAGTCCTCCTCGGTCCCGTGAAGGCAGAATGGTGGGTGGGTCCCATCCCCGTGCTGGGCGGGACGGAGCTACCAGGGGGCTCAGGCCCCCACCGGCCAGGTGAGAGGAACTCAAAACCGCAGAAAGGAACATCCCTGCCTGCTCCCGGGGGTCCCAGAGCAGGGCCCCGCCTGGCACAGCGAGGGACCCACCTACGAGTCACCCGCCCAGGCCGAGGCATCGCCCGGTGGCACCGCCCGACCCCAGCCCCGGAGGGGAGGGAGAGGCTGAGACGCCGCCGGCAGCAGCGAGGGGGTACAGGACAGAAACCGAGCGGTTTCAATAAACTATTCAATAACGGAAAGGACTTTTAAAAATATATCTCTATATACTTTATATCATATAAATTATGCTCATTTTTCTGTAACGTTCTGCTCTACTCTACCCGTGAAGCTCCGAGCGCCTCAGTGTGAACGAGGTAATGACTCAGTGTTTGGTTCCACTTCATCCGTGTGTGAGGGACAAACCTACCCCAGGTCACTCACAGGGTGTGAACAAACCCGTCACCAGACGCACTCGGTGAAGCTCCGGTCCCAGAAAGGCATTTCTGTGAGAACGCAGAGTTGGGATTGCTGCCTGGAAATTTAAGTGACTGAATTTCCTTCAGGAAAGGGGCTTGCCATGTACGCACAGCACGGACCATCCCTGTAACCTTCGGGAATCTGGAGCATCACCACCATGGACTGGGGAAAGCTGGAACCACCGCAGGTCGCTGGGGCTCTGCCAGCTCCGCTCCGCAGCGCGCCCGGGGCTGCACGGGCCATTGCCTGTTCCTACGGTTCTGATCGCGGGGCACTGGGGCAGACTAAACCAAACTGAATTATTTCACCTAACCGCCCCCCTCCAATAACTAACTGGTCCAGGGAAGCGATAAGCAGACTTTGTCCCATCGGCTCAGCCCAGGCAGGCGGTTCCGAGCTGCTAACGGGTGTTTGAGACCGACACGGAACCGCAGCTCCCTCTGTCCCACGCCAGCAGTAACCAGCCCTCGTGCCGGGAGAGCTCGAACCGGAGCTCATGTCCCCCCGCAGCCTGGCGCGGGGCCAAGACTGAGCTCTCCGGGGACATCCAGGTGGATTTTCCACCGAGCCCAGAGGCAAACGGCACCTGCAGCTGCTGCCGTGCAGGAGCAGCATCGCCCACAACCACCCATTCAGGGAGACCTGAATGTGAGGCCCCAGCCCCTCCCCTGTGGCCCTTCTTGCCGAGGTCACCCACCCCCCCACCCCGCGGAGGGTCCCAGGCAGCTGACAGCAGCCGCACGCTCCCCGCGCCGGGGCAGGGCTGCTCCTGGCCACATTCCCTCAATTCCCTTAACCACTAATTCCCCAAGTGTTCCCAGCTCGGTCTTTGCTTCCCCAGCGAGCGCTCGGTGCCGTCACTTCTGATCTCACTCAGATGAGAACAGTTGTGTCCTGCCCTCTGCCGTACCTCCACGTATCCACAGACAACCCGGCGTTCCCCACACATTTGTCTCGGCTGCTTTCACAACACTCAAGTTCAAGTTCCTGCTGCTCTTTCTCACCAGAGCTGAACCCCACAGCAGAGGTTGCAACTCCACTCTTCAACAGAATGAAACCCTTCAGAGCAGGCTCAGAAATGCTACGTGGAACCCAAACCTGTACGTTCAAATCAACTGTAATCATCACCATCAAGACCTTTTGGACCAAGGAAAAAAACCCAAGCTATGGTCATTATCTGGTTTTAATATTAGATGGCAAGAGCCTGGGGAAAGATCAGCATGCTTTATAAAAGTGCTCAAGATAAACAGCTATTTCTTCGACCTTTCTCTCAGGAAACCACACTTTATCCAAGTGCCTAGCAGAGTTTAGCTGTTTCTCCAAACTCCCAGAGAACTGTACTTTCTAAACAACCCCTACAGTTCCAGAAAAAAATTCTGAAAAATCCTTCTACCTACTACCCATGGAGGCAGCAGGGACAAACGTTACACCCGTGTAGCAGAAAAGGAAAAACCAAACAGGAACACAAATGTCATTGACCTCTAAGCACTTGGACCTCATGCAGTTGCCCTCTCTCCTCTGCCCAGTCTCCCGTGTGTCTCTTGCAATTTTACTTCTTCATTTTTCTTACCTTCACCAGAACATTAAGTCAGTGGATTTTTGGGGGGGTGTCCCGGTTTCGCCTGGGCCGGGCCAATCACCGACCCTCGGGCGCACGGGTCCGCTCGCAGACGCCTGGGGGGAGCAGCCGGGTGAGGGGACGGGGGCAGGGCTGGATCCTCCTTCACTCGGGCTGTTCGTGTCAGAGCTCCTTCACGTTTTACCGGCAAGTTGGGCATTTGGCAGCTCACACCGAGGTTGGAATTCCCCTACAAGGGCAGGTTTGCTCTCCAGAACCGTCCCTCCACGTGGAGCAGTTTAGCGCCTCCCCTCCGTTGGCGCCAGGTGATCAACCCCCCCCCCTCTGCACCATCTGGGCACGTTTGGCTGGAAGGGAAACCCCGTCCCTTCCCAGTAGTTGTGGGTGGCACAGTGTCACCTCCGTCCCCCTTGCCCCGGACTCCGCTGCAGGGGCTGGGCAGGTCCTTGTGCCCCCGTCAGACGCTGCTGTCCTCAAGCAGCGGCTCCTTCCCGTCCACGCCGCCAGCCTGCGGGCTGTGGGGGTGGGCCTGGGCCCCGTTACTGTGCTTCTTGTGGCCGCCCGAGCGCAGGGCCAGGGTGTGCTCCGGGATGAACAGGGCCACCAGCAGCGACAGCAGGACAGAGCAGGCCCCGAAGAGGAAGGGAGGCCCCGGGATGATGCTGCTCTGTGGGGCCAAGCAGAGGAAGGGTTAACACTTGGGCGCGGGGCGTAAGCACCCAGCACGCGGCGCGACAGTGCTGAACGGGTTACCTCGTCCGTAGGGTTGGCCATGTTGGGTTTGGAGGCCTTACCCAAAGTTTCCACCTCAGCCATTTCATTCAGCTCCACATGGAAGAGATAGAAGACAAAGCCATAGAGCGCCGGCCCCAGGCCGTTACACAGACCCCGAATTCCAGTGATCATCCCCTGCACCACACCTAGGGACAGAGTGGGGAGAGGGAGATGTGCTTCCACCCTGCTGCATTATCCAAGGACATCACGTATCTAAAAACCGGATCAAGCATTCACATCTGGATGGCCACACACTCCACAGATGAAGCGGTGGGCTGGTGATGAGCTCTGCTCAGCATCAGGTTCTACAGAAATCAGCAGGCCTGGACTGGCTGCTTCGGCAAATAAAATGAGTGTGGACACATCGGGTCCCAGTCTCCAAATGAACTGGAATTTAAGGCACCCAAGTCTGAGGGCCAGGGCTGAACACAGAGCAGCGGCCTCCCCTCTGTCTCAGACAGGCCGCCCTGAGCATCTAAGTTAGGAATTTGGGAATTCCCCCAAAGCATCAGCTACAGTCAGAGGCTGAGAATGGGAGCGCACGTCAGCTCGGGGGCGCCGCCCGCTCGCTCTGGCCCCAGACACCCACCTTGCTGGTCGGGGTCGGCGTTCCGGGACACCATGGCACTGATGGCCGGGAAGGTGATGCTCGACATGGCCGCCACTGCCCCCGCCGCCCACATCATCCTCGGGGGAAAGAGGCCACGTCAGGCGGGCGGTCGCCGGGACCAGCCGCAGCCGAGGCGGTGCCAACGGGGACAGGGACCCGCGCGGAGGGAGACAAGCTCTTACCAAGGCTGCGACCCGAAGCCGTACCAGGCCAGCTGCAGGATCTGGAAGCCCAGTCCCAACAGGATGGTGTTTTTATTTCCTATCGAACGCATCAGAATTCCCAACACTACTGTCTGGAAAACAAAACCAGGTGCTGTCAGTGTGAGTGCAAAGACAGAGAACAAGGCTGGGGACAAGTGGGTGGGAGCCGCGGGCCGTCACAGCACACGGGCTGCCGTTTGGTTCCTCAATAGCTACATCCAGGGGGTGAGAGGGACCACGGGTGAGCTGCACGTGGCACCAGCCACGTCCTTGTGGCCACAGGGACTCTGACAACTCTCCAGCCCCATCACCAGAGATTTTGGATGTTTTTATAAAGAGATGGCTGGAGTCACGAGAGAAACTGCTCCTCACCTGAGCCAGTATAGAGAGAATTCCAACTACCCCAATAAAGGCTGCCACAGTCTCCGAGGAAAAACCAATGACCTGTGAAAACAACAGAGAGGGACTTTTCAGAGGAAAAAGAGATTTGTACCACGGGAGAAAAGCCACTCGGTGTCACTGACATTTAGTGACAAGGCTTATCAGACACTTAAGCATTCATCAGCCGCGCCCTCACCATCTCCCTGCTGCCACAAGAAAACAACAGAGGATTTACCTCTGCCTGAAAGAACAGTTTTAAATCTCTGGGCTCACCTTAAACAGCTGGAAGTGGCACGGACAGGACAGACAGACAGACCACCAGCAAGAAACCAAGCAAGAGTCTGGTCAATGCCCACAGAGTGGTCACCAGACTCCCCCATTTTTTAGGAAAGCTGGAACAAGTCACTATTTCTTACAGCTTCAACCTCACTAAGCTATTGGCCAAGACGCGCCTCCCCAGGACATGCAACTGAACTACGATCTGTAGGCTGGGACTTCCTGCATTCCTGCCTTCCCTCATGGCAGGAGACTGACCTGTCGCAGGTACAGGAAAAAGCTGGAATACTGCCCGGCCTCAGGAAGGTAGGAGAGAAAGACAGTGATACAGATGAGCAGCACTGTAGAATCTTGACCCACTTTCCGCAAGGACTGTAGGACAGGGGATGGGAAATGAAAACAATTTTTTAAAAGAAGAGCTAATATCATTAAATATCCTCCAGGTACAGAGACAGCAAACCCAAGTGCTTAAGTGACCATCTTATATCAAGGAGGGGAATGCTGGAATGAAACCAGAGCAGCATTTGGGGAAGATGCCACAGCTCATCAGGGCGGGGTACGGCTGCACCAACACACCCCAGGACGAGGAACTGTTATCTCTCAGTTGCTCAGATTTACAGTCAAGTGCTTTTGGTCAGCATTGTTTTTTGCCTCAGACAATGAAAATAACCTTTCTAGCAAGCAAAGGCGAGGTGAAACTGCAAAGGTCCCGGATGCCAGGAGCACAACAGATTTCTCCTGGCACTGGGATTTACAGTCAAACCACTGGCACGTTTCCACCACAAGATGCTCTTGCCTCGGGACACCCTGAGCTGCATTCAGCTGGTCTGTAGCTCCGTGAAGCCACTCGGCAGCTTTCGAGGCACAGTCTGATGTCATTTGAAGGCTGCACCTGCGACGGAGTTAACCTACGCCCCAAATCCTTCACCTTTAGGGGAAGGCATCTTCCTTCTGAGAGAAGTTGGCAGAACTAAAGCAAATATAAGCATCGCCAGCGTGCAGAAAAGCAGCAGCAAGATGACTTACAGCGAAGGGGTCTGCCTGTTCCCAGGAGATCGGAGCTCCCCAGGAGACCGGGCGCATCTCCTCCGGCAGAGACTCCGGCACGGCCAGCAGGATGAAGCCGATGTCCAGCAAGGCAACGCCGGAGGCGAGCACGACCACCAGCGTATCGCCGTAGGCCTGGGAGAGGTACGCGCCGATGGCCGGGCTGGTGACCAGACTTGCAGCAAAGGTGGCCGACACCTGCAAGCAGAAACCACTGATACAGCCCCTTCCTCCTAGAGACCATCCTCTCCTCCAGAGGAGCCCAAGGGCACCAGCTTGGCACCTCTGACTGAGAGAACTGGGCGGGGGCTCCTGTAATGGCAGGTTCTCCTGGTGCCATCTTGGCTGAGGTCCAGCAAAGGGCGGGTGAAGCCACGCTAAGGACTCACGCAGGACTCCAGCAGTAACCCTGCAGAACGGGCCCAGCCATGGGCTCCTCGTATGCGCGGCGGTGCCCCGGCTTGCGCCCACCCGCCCCGGCACGAGGCAGCTGCAGAGCAGCTGGTTCAGAGGCTGAGCCACCTTGCAGACAGGGCTCGGGTCGCACAGAAACCAGCCCTCGCCCTCGGTGCTAAACCACACACAGAACAGAGAGACTCTGTTATCAGTGAAGCGCGAATCACCCTTCACCAACACCGTCCTCAGGCTTGTCAGTACATCCCCCACCCTCGCTTCGCACCCCTCGGACCTGCAGAGCCCCCGACATTCCTCTCAAGAGGAGAGCCCCTCAGCCCCTTACCAAGCCATACGCCGTGCTGCGTTCATGCTCCTGCGTGATATCGGCAACATAGGCAAAAATCACAGAGAAGGTGACAGCAAAGACCCCAGACATGGAAATGACAGCAAAATACCACCTGAAACGGGCATTGCCAAAGCAGAGTTAGAGAGCAACCACACGCCTGAACTGGAACCGCTCCCTTGTTCCTCCTTCACCCATCCACTCTCTAGACTGAACATCCCCCCCCCGGACAGACTCTTCCACCCCATCCCCAAGCGCAGCAGCCACAGACCCCCCGTCAGTCTCACACTCCCTCCTCCCCTCAGAGCCTCTCGCTTACAATGAGCAAACTCACCACGGACTGATCTTCATAAGGGGAATTGGTGCACACGTGAAGAAGACAGTGAGGAGGAGAAAGGATTTCCTGCCCCAGACATCAGAGAGAGCACCAATCAGTGGGGCACTTAGAAAAGAAAGCAGACCCTGAGGGAGACAGACAGGAATGGGAGAGAGAAACCCCTCAGCCAGATTCTGACCGTCCAGCCAGAGCTTTTGACAACATCATCTAGAGATAAAAATACAATGAGGCAATTCATTCCTATTTTCCACAAGCAGGCAATATTGCCAAAACAGAACAGTTTGTTAAACTGCTCACATCCTTTTAGGGAGAAAAAGCCACCCCTGGGCAGCCAGGCGCTGCCGAACACTCCAGTTACTTCAGTTCTGGGCAAGGGCTGAGCTGGTGGGGCCGGAGCCGCCTGCGGGCACAGCCCCTCGGTTAACGTCTGCGCCGCTCCGGGGAACGCTTCCTCCTTCGGGCAGAGACAACACAGACCCGAGGAGAGGCCACGGCCACTGAGCACAAATAAAATCGTTCGATGCCTCTGAAGGTCTCTCAGACCCAAGCTGGGCGGGAAGGCCCTGGGAGCACCCACCCCACACTGCAGCACACACACACCCCCCAGGGACATTTTCTGAGCTCCTCTTGCCAGGGCCGGGGCCTAACGATCTGTTTTGCCACATTCCCAAGTCAGAGCACATGGTTGCTGCCTGTTCAATACAGTCACCTCCCACTCTGTTCTGGGAATACTGGTTTAGCCCAAACTCACCACGCTGCAGCGTAGTCCCCACCCCGGCCTGGGGAGAGCCTGCTAAGGCCCCCTCAGCTTCAGCTTCTGTCACCTCTAAGTTCAGATGTCACTGATTTTTTCTTTCGTTGCACTCCAGAACACAGCCACAGGGCTGACCTCATGCTGATTAGCATATTTTCAGCTGAAACACGCAGCTGTTCCAGCCCCAAGGCCAGGCTGACAAGCAGCACATTGTTAACTCTGCTCAGCAACACCAAGCACACAACCGCCCCATGCCTACACGCCCCCAGCGCCTCGTCCCACGCCCGCTCTGCCAGCAGCGCCCAAAACAAAACACCAACACCATCTGTCCTATGTGGGCTGACATAAGCAGGTGACACAGGTTGGGACGGCGTGAACTCCCTGCCCTGATCACAGATCCAGAGGGAAGCCTGGAAGGAACGTTCCCTTACCTTGACTCCATGAATCAGGCCATTCATCAAGAACGTATGCTGAGGAAAAGTCTGGTGTAACACCTGGGAAAAGCAAAAACCAAAGAACAGAGCTGGCAACTTTTGCAAAATTTCCATAAGCACCTGACAGCAAGGTGCCTGGAAGAGCAGAAACCAGGGAAGTGGGAAGCAGAGCACCGACCCCAACACTGCTGCACCGGCGTGAGGAGCCCTGCCTCCCCTCCCCACCACGAGCAGCCGCTTCCTTTAATACCTCACAGGTCTATAAATTATTCCAGCACACTTGGGCGAGGCTCAGGGGACCTGAAACGTGCCTTTCTCCATCCCTGCACCATCTGATTCTGTCCGTTTTTTACTTCTTGTGGCCACACAACTTCTCTGCTGCTCTCTCCCCCTTCTGTACCATCTATATGTTCAATTTGCAGTTCATACCACTAAGCTAATCCTGTATTTCTAAATGCCTTTGCATAAACACAGGCCCCTTCTGCATAGTCACCTGGATATCAGAGATCAGGACAAAACCACACACGGCATGTTAGGCTTCAATGCGAGCTGACATACCACCACCAGGAAATGCATTTAAAAAGCTGAGAATTCTCCCTGAAGTTGCCCCATCAGAAGTTTACAGTTCCTTAACTAAAGGCAAATACCCAAAACAAGATTTTAAGTTTCTTTAATAAAACTATCCCTCTGCACTTGACTTCACCGTGAAGTTGCTGCTTGTGTTAATCACAACCCAGGAATCACCTCTGGGCTCTCCAGGAGCTGCTGGGAAATTGACTCTGACCAGAAATCTCCTTTATCCCTAATATGGTGTTGGGTGAAAGGTGCAGTCTTTGGATAAAAAAAAATTTTTGCTCAACTTTCTTTTATTAAGCTCCCAAGTGCACTTTTTTTTAAAAAAACACCTAGAAAAAAAAAAGGGGAATAAATGACAGTAAACTACCAGTAAATTCTAGTAATTTCTTGTCAGGTCTTTCACTCCTGCTTTCTTGAAATCCTCCAAAAACTTTCAAAAATCTAACTCATGCTCTGCTCCAAGTCGAGCTAAAATAATTGCCCAACTCTATAAAGAAACTACTGTAGCTCCAGGTTTTTCAGGCACAGAGGATCCCATCTCGATCTGCGCCCGGGGGGGGGGGGG